TTGTTCCTAGCAGTAAGGCCAGGAGCCCCTAGTAGCGTTCTTGTTCCGAGTAGTAAGGCCAGGAGCCCCTAGTAGCGAAGGCCAGGAGCCCCTAGTAGCGTTCTTGTTCCTAGTATTTTGAGATTGTGTGCAAGGGCGGCATCTTGAACGCTATCCTTGCAATCGTTCGTCGATTCCGAGGTGGGCAAAGATGCTTCAGGTCGCGCTATTTACGAGCAGAGCTTTGAGAGTGCTAGCCAGCTAACAGTTTCCACTGCATGGGCATGTGACTGTGCTCAATGTATGAATGGCAAAGTGTCCATCGACGTTGGGCGATTTGGAACGGTTGCAGCAGGCAATGTTTACGAACTTACAGGATGGGCCTCAGCTTGCAGGCTGGGGTTCTAGTAACAAGAAGCTACTAGGGGCTCCTGGCATCGCTACTAGGAGCGTTACTAGGGGCTCCTGGCCTTACTACTAGGAGCAAGGACGCTACTAGGGGCTGATGGGCCTCAGCTTGCAGGCTCTATTGTGACGGAGTTGAAGTGGCCTATTTGAGCACGTGGGAACATGCGACAGGCTACAGCAGATCTTTCCCATCACAGTGTATCGGGGCTGTTTCGGTTGAAATACATGGAGGTGGACATTGCGGTGGTTGCCGAGTTGGAGGCACTGGGCTTTTCATCAAACCTTGGCCGAAGCAACCCTCCTTCCTTGCCGTCGATGCCGTCAATACACCTCTCGTTCCCAAGAGGCTGCAGTTTTCAGCAGATCAAGGCGAGGCAAAGACGATGGCCTCCTTCCCCTAGTAATAAGCGTCCTTGCTCCGTTCGTAGCGGTGCCACGAGCCACTAGTAGCGATGCCCTTGCTCCTAGTAGTAAGGCCAGGAGCCCCTAGTAGCGTTCTTGTTCCTATAGTACTATAGATATGAAACTTTGTTTGAAGTCTAACGTCCTCAACGTCCGATATTGTTGAATTCAAATTGGAAGTGACTGCTGCAGTCTCATTGTGACAGGCAAGTGGTGCATTGATAGTAGTTGCACGGCCGTGGATGGCCGAGTGGAACCCATCGGTGTTTCCTCGAGCTCCTTCGACGTGGTGGCCGTCTCCGATTTCGATGGTCAATTTGAGGGGAAAGGCGTTCCAAAAATTGGAGGAGGCCAAGCAGCGGCGCTGAAGGCACGTTTGAGGCACGCCCCGATCCACCACCTTCAAACGACGGGACGTGCATGCACCACAGATTCTACCAATCAGCTGCAACTATATACACAATCAGGTTATTGGTCTCCAATGTCCAATCGACTATAATAAACAATCACAATTTAATGAATTTAATCAATGACGAATTTTCAGCTTGAACTCGACCCGTTCGGTGCAGGACTGTGTTTGATTTGTTGTTTTTGCTTGTTTTGTTTTTCATTTTTGTTTCCTCGTTCCTGCTCATTTGTTGCACTCGCTTTACGGTTTGTTACCTCGTTTTACGTTTTTTTTGTTTCTCTTTTTTTAAACGTTCTTTTCACGGCTCCTGCTTCCACATTTGCTCACATTGCGCGCGTTTCACGGCAAAACAAACATGAAAGAGTCAGCATCAGGAGTATATTCTACAGAGAAGTCAGTATTGACCGACGTCACTGAAAGCGTCAGGGATTGAAACATGGAGGCAGCGTCCAATGTCCTTCGCCGGCTCCCTTGACACCAGCGCTAACCATCACTCTTGGTCACGACAAGTATGACTCTCTCTCTCTCTCTCTTTCTTTCTCTCTTTTCTCGCCAACGTTGAGCTTCGGACTTCAAGCAAGCCTCCTGTCAACTTAAAGCCACCTGTCAACTTGTCTCACCTCTTGTAGAAGACGCATCTACTGGGTGCTGCAATGGACAATGCTGGGCACTGCGATTGAAGGATGTGAGTATGTTCCAGGGAGACATAGCGATTTTGATCCTTGAGCTCTGCTTTCTTGAGCCTTTGGCTGGCTTCCTGTGGAGGCAACAGTTGTTTTCCAAACATCTCTCTGTTCACTCTCTTGCATTTTTATCAGTCAGTCCAGATGCAAAGGTGAGCAGTTTTTTATTGCTAAACGTTAAAAGTTAAAAAGAATCGCAACAAGTCGTAGAACGAGCGCAACATGAGAAGGAGTGGAGCCAGGAAACGTTTATAAAAACATGCAAGAAAACGTAAGCCGAGCGCAGAATGAGCAGCAGTGGAGCCAGGAGTCGTTAAAGAGACGTCCAACAACTGTAAAGAATCGTAAAGCCAGCACAACATCAGGACCCAGGAGTGGAAGCAGGAGCTGTGGGAAAAAGAGTAAAACCACGTAATAAAAGAGGTAAAAACGTAAAACGAGCGCAAGAAGAGCAAGTGATCCAGAGAGGCCTTTTTATCGGTGATCGGGTTAGGATATTTATCTGATTGGGTCAGGATATATTTGTTTGTCGCATGCACTTTTTGTTGCAGTTTGGAAAACTTGTTTAACGGTTTAACCTATTTTCTATCAATGATCGAAGAATGTAGTTTAATCCTGGTTACAACGGCGTCTCCCCAAGTTCAAGTTCAGCGTTTGTTTGTATAGACACCGTGGGAAGACTCCTTTAGCTGCCCTAAAAAGGCCTTTAGGCACTCCTTTCACCAATAGTTATACATCCAAAACCAAACTTAATTCTATTATATTTATTTATTGTTTCTAATAGCGATGCCCTTTGCTCCTAGTAGCGATGCCCTTTGCTCCTAGTAGCTTCTTGTTACTACTAGTAAGGCACTTGTTACTAGAAGGGATGCACCTGTTTTCGCTTTCTGAGGGGGGAGAAGACAAACCATGCGTTTGTCGCACTACCCTTTGTGTTGCAATCAAGTGCGCCTCGGCGTGCTTTGTGAGGATATCCCGTTGCACGGGTGAATGGGTGCAGGTAGCACTGGAGGCCTCCACCTCGTTTCGGAACGCGGAGTCGGATCGTTTCGGAACGCAGGTCAAATGGTCTCTGGGAAGTGGTTTCTGGGAAACGTTTTTTGGGGAGTGGTGAAGGCCTAAGTCCAACCCAAAGACATCCTAAAGAAGCAAGGCCCTAAGCCAAGCCAAGAGAAACCCTAAAGGAGCAAAGCCCTAAGCAAAACCAAACCAGACCCTAAAGAAGTGAAGCCCTGAGCCAAGCCCAAAGACACCCTAAAGAAGTGAAGCCATAAGGCAAACCAAAAGAGACCCTAAAGAAGTGAAGCCCTAAGCCCCTCGCAAGTGAAGGCCTAAGTCCATCCTAAAGAAGCAAGGCCCTAAGGCAAACCAAAAGAAACCCAACGGCTCACTTTTGGAGGAAGTCTCGTACGAAACGCTCGTTCTGGAGACTTGCGCGGCTCACTTTTGGAGGAAGTCTCGTAAGAAACGCTCATTTTCACTAGCAAATGATGCCTTCGAAGCACTACCGAAGGATGTGTTCCAAAATGATCCGGGTGCCGCACTGGATGGGTGGAGAACAAGTCTACATCCAATCAAAGCTGCTTTGGAGCTCTTGCCACCCTGTTGATGGCTTCAATATGCTTGCCAAAGTATTTGTAGTCAGGGCTGAGTGATGCCAGGATTGAAATTGAAAGTTGAGAAAGCAAGAATGCCCATCACTCTGAGGCTGAGAAACAGTGCGTTTTCAAAGGCGTGATTGCAATGCTTCTTACTCGCATCTCGATTTTGACCGAGTCTGGCTCGCAGGTCTTTCGGCGCTACCCAATTGCATACCAATTGCTTGTAAACAAAAACTACTCTACTACTCGCACTTTGTGGGAGGTAAAAGGCATACTTGGCAGTGGTGGTAGTAGTCGCAGCAGCAGCAGCAGCAGACGACCAGTTGCAAGCTTCATCCTTTGTTTCAGGACGCGCTTGGACAAGAACACGGTCATTTGCCCAGGTCATGTCCAGGAACGCGAGAAGTGTACGGATTGGTTGTGGGTTTTGCCAATGATTCCCAGTGTGGTCGTAGTTGACCGCAGCCTTTGCGACAATTTTTTCTTGGCTCAATGAAAATACAAAGCCTAAAACCAGGTCCGCTCATGTATCCTCAATTCTGGAGCTGGGCGTGGTGCATGTAAGGCAAGCAGTCTCCTGTTCCAGAATTCGCTTGGTCTTGTAGCAAACATGTTTGTGGCCAGTACTTCTCTCGAAAGGATGTTCAGTTTCTCTCCTCTCGAGTTTGGCCTCACCATGGAAGCGTATTCTCAAGCAGGTTGCTGAAAAGTCTTGAACTTCAAATCGGTCCATGCTGAGCTGCCGATTTTTGAGTCGGGTGGAAGGGCCAAGTGCCTTGGGCCAAGTGCTCAAATGTCAAACTTTGTTGGACAGATTTTGAACAATTTCCAATTGCTTTGTAATCTACTAATAAACTAAACTTTTTAATTGCTTGTCATCTCATTACTCAATAGTTTCAAGACGCTTGAGGCGCCATGGCCCTCATCCAACATGGTCACAGGAACGAGTTCTGGCACACTGGGGCCCGTCATCCGTCCTCCTCCGCGCTCTGAACGGAGAACTGAACTTGCTTGCGCAAGCAAATTCCAGTGACATCTGGGTCAAACAGAAAACATGTTTATTCATTGAGGAAGAAGTGTTTTGCTATTTTGATTTTAACAAAAAACCATATGTTCTACAAATGACATTTACGTGGGTGTGAGAGTCCAGTGGAGATTTATGATCTCCCTAAGAGCAATGCCCCATCAGAGGGTCAACTCCCGGAGATGTGAAGTCTCTTAGATATTTTCCCTTGTCGCAGTCCACCGGACGGTTGTTTGGGTCCTCGACATCGGCGGTAAGGACAGGTATGAACATCACAATTAGTAGAAGATGCAAAGAACAATCTATGGAAATGGGATGGGTGTCAATGAGTGCAGGGCTTCATTGGGAAAACTCATTGCAGTCGAGACATCAGAGGCATCAAGACATGTCAAGACCTGCGGTATCCTTTGTCATACAGGGCATAGTCTGAAAGTCATAGGGCCCAAGCCCTTGGAGCAGAGGCGCCCCTAGACAAGCGCCATGTTTCGTAGGTGATCACACGGTTGAGCACGATAATGCCGTGTGATACGGGGTAGCTTGTGTTTTTTGGTGCGCCCGCACTGGAGCTTCGAAATGTAACTCTTTTTTCTATTTCTTTTTTTGTGGATCTGCTTTTTTGGCAAAAAGCGCTGAAACTGCAGTCAGTTTGAAAGCCTGGAATGCTCCCAAAATGGATGCCCCAAACCGATTCATTGCTTGCAGCTGGCGCTATGTTTCCTGGGACCCCCAGCTAATTATAGGGTTTAGATTGGGGGAGGTGATCGAATCAGATTGGTTCCTGTAGGTTAGCAGATTAGCGATTGCCAACCTCACCACAGATGGCACCCGATCGCTTCAGACGCCCGCAACCGCATTGAAGGGTTGCGATGCATACTGGAAACCGTTGTCCTGGTACACAGCAACACCTGTGAGGTTCACAGCAACACAAAAAGAACCTCACAGGTTATTGCCACACTGCGCACGCAGCGCATCACGTCGGTTCCCGCTCGGCTTCGCCTCCAGGGGCATCAAGACACCGAAGAGGCCCAAGGCGCCGAAGGTGCCGAAGCTGGAGACGTTCACACCAGAGGAGCCCTCCTATGCCGCGGAATGTATGGACTACACCCAGCTTTGGGCCAGTATACAGGCAGATTGAAGCGTCGTTGGGGTTCGGGATCTAAGACGTTCAAACCGATTTGGCATATATTGACTATGTGAATGTTGGGAGTGTCCTGATGTTCTGGTTCGGATGAAAACGTCCCGCTACTTTCGGGTTCATTCGTTGAGGGATGGTGTGCTGGTTGCGGAAATCGGGGTCGAAGCCCAAGCATGTTAGGAATACCAAGAAACAGCTTGAGAAAGCCCTCTGCAGGAAAGCTACAAAGATGCCACTGGCACTGTGACGCCTCATATGAACCAATTGAAAGCTGAGCCGGTCTATGACCTTCCGGAAACAAATCCCTGCGAAGTTGCAGGGGCTGTGTCCGGAACTCGTGGAAAGATCGGAGGCTGGGTTGCTCTGTTCAGGAATTGAGCATCGACAAAAAGGACAACACGACTCGGAAGGTATCATAGCAGGAAACTCATAGCGATGGCCTTCAAGCCAATAACGATGGCCTCCGGCCTCCAAGCTAATAGCAAAGGCCTCCAACCTACTAGCGATGGCCTCCAACCTAATAGCGATGGCCTCCAACCTAGTAGCGATGGCCTCCAACCTAGAAGCGATGGCCTCCAACGTAGTAACGATGGCCTCCAACCTAGAACCTCCAACCTAGTAGCGATGGCCTCCAACCTAGAAGCGATGGCCTCGAACCTAGTAACGATTGCCTCCGACCTAGTAGCGATGGCCTCCAACCTAGAAGCGATGGCCTCGAACCTAGTAACGATTGCCTCCGACCTAGTAGCGATGGCCTCCAACCTAATGGCGATGGCCTCCAACCTAGCAGCGATGGCCTTCAACCTGGCAGCGATGGCCTCCAACCTAGAAGCGATGGCCTCCAACCTAATGGCGATGGCCTCCAACCTAGCAGCGATGGCCTCCAACCTAGCAGCGATGGCCTCCTAGCAGCGATGGCCTCCAACCTAGCAGCGATGGCCTCCAACCTAATGGCGATGGCCTCCAACCTAGTAGCGATGGCCTCCAACCTAGTAGCGATGGCCTCCACCTAATGGCGATGGCCTCCAACCTAGTAGCGATGGTCTCCAGCCTAATAGCATCAACAGTTTTTTCATTGGTGCCTATAGGTGGAGATGGCCGCGCAACGCCTGAGAAGATGCCATACACAGAGCTTGACGGCTGCTCTGCACGTGTCATTACCCGCGAATTGGAAGCTGCCAAGCGAGAGCGCGATGCGGCTGTCTTTGAGACCGTGACCAACGTGGCAGACGAATCGATGGATCTTGTTTGTGACTCTCCACCAAACATTGAAACTGCACCCATGGGCATGGGTGCTGAATTTCAGGCGGAGGACTGGTGCAGTGATGGCTTCAAGCTGGCGCACGCCATGATGCTCATGGCTACGTATCACGGCGGAATTGGATTGGCAAATAGTATCTACAACGTTGAGGTTGAAGACAATGCTGACTGCGATCCCATCCAGGCCCATTCCAAATTGCAGACTTCGACACACAGCCTCGAGTACATCGGGCCTAAAAGCTGAGAACATCCAAAGCAGGAGTACTTATGAAGCTACTAGTAACAAAGGGCATCGCTACTAGGAGCAAGGACGCTACTAGGGGCTCCTGGCCTTACTACTAGGAATAAGAAGCTACTAGGGGCTCCTGGCATCGCTACTAGGATCAAGGACGCCACTAGTACTATGTACTTATTATATCTTATATGATGTGCTTCTGGTTTCGGGGTTCAAATTCATCGCAGGCAGGCTTGGATCGACTCTTTTGTGATGTCCACTGTGTGCGAGATGCAGTCGTGCGGGGTGACCGAGCCATCCTTCGGAATCTCAAGTCTGCGACAGAGGTGGGGACGCTAGTAGAAACAAGTGCCACGCTTCTAGTAACAAGTGCCTTACTAGTAGTAACAAGAACGCTATTAGAATTAAGTTAATAGCTTTTTGTTACTACTAGTAAGGCACCTGTTACTACTAGCGTGGCACTTGTTACGGGAATGTTTGTTCAAAGCGATTGCCTCCAAGCTAAGAGCACTGGCCTCCAACCTATAGTGATGGCCTCCAACCTACTAGGCATGCCTTGTTTGTTCCTCTTAGTTTGTCAACTCGTTGTTTTTCTTCAGCTTCGCCATCCTTCGCCGCTCCGCCTCTTAGGTGACCAACAACAACATGAAGAAGATGGTTGAATGGTCTGTGGCAGCCAATCAGGCTGAGACGGGCTGGCTGGCTGCCAAGATGGACACCATTGAGGATCGCTTGAGCATTCGCATCCAGATGGTGCAAGATGCTCTGAACACGGCAAACACCGCCGCTTTGCAAGAAGCGAAAGAGGCCACTTTTGATCAACAAGAACAATAACAAGCAGTCTAAACCAATTGAATACGGACGGGCGTTTTTTTTGTTGAATGTTATTTTTATTTGCTTTTGATGCTTTTGTTGCTTTTATGCTTCTGCTGCTTTTTTGCTTTTGTTGCTTTTCTGCGTTTATTGCTTTTCTATGCTTTTCTGCTTTTGCTGCTTCTGCTGCTGTTTTGTTTTTTTGTTTTTCTGCTTTTTGTGTTTTTGTCTTTCTGCTCTTTGCTTTTGTTGCTTTTCTGCTTTGGCAGCTGTTATCCTTTCTCTTTTTGTTTTTGCTTTTCCATTTGTTTGCTGTGCTGCTGGGGGGGCGCTGCGCCCCCCCTAACCCCCCCCCGCGCCACGAAATCTGCACTTCATCTCCGACACCCGTGCCTGCCACGAAATCAACATTTTAAGGTGAACTCCCCGGTGCAAGAACTTCTAACCAATCATATATGCCTCCTGTGCTAGTTCTCTTTCTCTTTACTGTTTCTTTGCTAACTGCACCAAACTGTTGTGATAGGTAGGAGTTTCTCTCACACCTACACTATTCCAATCTATTTTGCCAGCTACGACAGCTCCCAAATTAGTCTAATCAGCTAGCAATTAATATGAAGCCTCCACTATTCCAATGGATTTGGCCAGCTCTCTGCTAAGGACACGAGATTGCTGTAATTAGCTAGGTACTAATAAGAAACCTGCTCATTAAAATACCAAATTAAACATATGCAGAAAAAATGAAAAAATACCAAATTAAAAGCGCACCCATTGAATACATACATGTTCCGGCATCAAATCTTAGCTTCCACTCCGTGAATTGTTCGAGCCGGCCTTGATTTGGTTGTCGTGCCATGTTTCTGACGAATGACAATTTGTCAACAGCTTCAAGCAGTGGCTTGATTGCGGGTTGCTGGATAAGGTGTCCACGTGGTGCATGTATCGTGCATGTAAGCTGGTTGAAGCCGGTTGGTGAAGGGAGCAGCTGAAGCTTTTTCCGAAACCATCACTCACTTTCATGACTTCACAGAACCCACAGCCAACGCACGGCTCTTCCTCGTAAAAGCGAAATGGCCAGAAGAAACGAACACATGAAGTTGCCTAGCTCGTAATGTTGTTTGCCGTATTTCAGAAAGGATCATCATCAGAAATTTCGGGGCTCTGTTTGCCAAAGGTCATTGCATAAGTTTACGCCTTCTTTCCCGCCTCGCTGGACGGTTCCAAGCAAGACAGGAGCGTGTTTTTAGCTCGCATCAAAGGAAATGGCTGGAGGTGGCTTGAACATTTCTTGTGCCGAAAATTTGCATTTTGAGATTGCTGACATGCAGCATCATGAGGACTTAGTCCCATTTCTTATGCGGTCGTGGGCTTGCTGTTGGGTTTGTTGTTCGGACACTCGAATTGATCACAGACACTACACTACGCTATGTCAAGTGCAAAGAGATAGGTCTGAGTCCTTCAGCCCACAGCATTCATTTAGAAGTTGCCTTATGGTGAACCAGCTGTTCAACAACAATTCCCCCTCTTTCGTGTAGAGAAGGCGGTGAATCCAGAAACTCTCTCGCTCGTGTGGGCCAGTGAAGCAAACCGGTTTCTGAACGCGTTGCCCCTAGTAGCGTCCTTGCTCCTAGTAGCGATGCCCTTTGTGACTAGTAGCTTCATAAGTACTATTTCAACTGAACGCGTTTCATTTTGGACACCATTTCAATTGGATGCGAGTGCAGCACAGAGCGAGCTCCTCATTTTCGCAGGTGAGCTCCTCATTGCTCTCAGAGCTGGCAGGTTTTGCTGAAACGGTCTCGTTCCGCAGCGCGATGGCCCGTCACACGGCCGGAGATGCGCTGGAGCATTTCGTGAAGTTTGGGCAGAGATTGGAGGGGCCGGTCAACACAACGACCGCTTCAATGGCCTTGCAAGAGCTGCAGGCGTGGATTAGAATTGAGTGCTGTGATGCGCCATGTGCCATGTTATCAAGATAGAGAAGACTGTGTGTGCTTGTTAGCCTTCAAACAGGCTTTGTAACGCCCAGGTCTTGCACGCTAAGATGAAAAGTTCTGTCGGTTCGTTGGGCTCTTCAAAGATGCAAAGTTTGGGCGCTCAGTTTCAGCGGGAAGCTTCGAACCTACAAGTCTTGGCCAAGCAACAACTGGAAACTCTAGGCAGGGCCAAGTTTAGTATGCTGCCAAAGTCATAAACACATGCCTCGTGAATTGAAAGGCTGGTTGCAGGGGTTCCAAACACATCGATCCATCTTGGAAACATACCCATTTGTCAGGCATCTACAAGGAGCATGGCAATGTGACAAGCACTATCGTCCGTACTTGGCAGCAGGCAGCTCACACCCAAGAACGGCGCATGGCTTTGGTCACGGTGGACCGGATTTGGTGGGAGCTGAGAGGAAAGTTGGACGGTTATTTGGAGGCGAACGGACACCTTTGAAAGCCATTATCGGTCTGTTGAGCAGAATATGATTGCTCTTAGGTTGGAGGCCATCGCGAGTAGGTTGGAGGCCATCGCTAGTAGTTTTGAGGCCACTGCTATTAGGTAGAATCAATTTTGTTACCCTTGGGCAGGCCGCTGAGCTCCAGGTGAATGCTTTCATGGATTCTTTGAGTACCATTGCGTCCTATGAACATTGTTCCGCTTCTCTTGGAGACGTGCAAAAGAGCTATGCTAAGAGCTTGGCGGCGAGAGATGTGGGCCACGCCGCGCTAAGAAGCACGTGGCGTGAAAGCGTGAATTCTTTGGGCGAGCTGGCTGCGGTGATTGCTGACACAGACATCTTCAATATCTTTGTCCAAGAGGAAGGATGCAATTCCACGTTGGCCAAGCAAACGCTCAAGCAGGAACGGGGTGACAAGTAGGATTGCCGACTTCTTTGCGGGCATGCAGATTCAAAGAATAACTTTGCCAACTCAGTTTACTTTTTCAATATACCTTAACACCTTGGGTTCACGGCTATCCTGTGCCATGAAAGAATTAGGAGATAAATGACTGGGCTCTCCAACCCCAGGCCGCGCAAAAGCGATCTCGTCACGGAAGGCGAAAGAAAGACGCGCAAGCACGTTTCAAAAGCACACAAACATCAATGCGCTGCGAATCGCTTTGCTGTCTACAAGTTTCCTAGTATTTGGATTCTAAATAGTAGGTTCCTGCATCTTGGAGGAGCAATTGTTGGTATGCAAGATTATGCAAGGCTCTACATGAAAGTGAAACTGCATAATTTTTGGCGCACAAAGGCAACCCACAGTTTTGTGCATGCACAAAATCAAGCAAAGCCAGATCCCACAGGCACGACATTGCTGGGCAACGGATGCCTTCGTGCATAACTAGGTATCATGTGGTACCTTGTAAAACGCTTGCGCAAACAATCTGGGGCACGTAAATACGAGTACAAGTACAAACTTTGGAGGATCTTTGCCTATGCATCTTGCCCTTGCAAAGACTCATTGCAGCAAACTGCTTCCACACCACAACACTGAAGAATTGCCGTATAGTCAGTTAGATGAAAATTCATCAAAGGAGTTTATCATGTTTTACATAGTCTTCATTTGAGGCAACGTTTGTGAAAGTACTACACATGGGATTCGTGGAAGAAGACATTTTTTGCTAGCGGAATGTATACCGCCCAGAAAATGACATGGATACTCATTAACACGTGTAATGAAATTGTTCGAGTGCAACACGGATGTCGAATGAAGGATTCCCCACCTTCAAAAGCTCGACGTGCTCTGGCAACGCTGAAAACGCCGCTTACAACCAAAGGGTATTATTGGCCGGAAGTTGTCCGATGCCGCAAACTTGCCTACTCGCAACAACAACAAGTCATATACACTTGTTGACACAGGTTACATGGACACACATTGACGGTCAGAACTGTATATAAATGGGTGGTGTGACACGAAGTGCAATTGCAGTGTGGTTCGCTTGGTAAAACACTTCCCAAGAAGTACAACCTGCTTTCAGCGCCAGTGCAACCATGACAATTGTCGATTGTCTTCATGTCGTGTCTGCATGTGTCCACTTGCACGTGCGTTCACCCCCTGTCATCGAAAAAAACAAACACATTTTCCGACATGTACTCCAAACACAGAAAACGAATGGGGGGCCACCTTTTTGACAATCTGTAAGGGTTGCACCAAGGAGTAAAAAAATAAACAATCAAACATCTTTTTGACCTCAGATTTCTTTGGCTGCAGCGAAACGCCCGAAAAGAACAAAGCCGTGGGGTGGGGCGGGGCGGTAACGATTCCGCCGGGATGTTCTTGTGGAAGTTCATCTAACCAGGCACAGAATGGCACAGAGTAATTCTGAGCGCCGCAGACATTCACATTTCACCTGGAGGACCGAGTGAACAATGCAAATAGAGCACTTTTTCAAAACGCTGTGGTGCAGCGAAAAATGGCCTGTATTTTTGCAACAAACATCGCGAGACTCCACGCCAACCCTCAGCCCGCTGACCGGAAGAAGACTTCAATACCACTGAACAGTTGAATCTTCTCACTCCTCTTGCGAGAGTTCAGAGAATACAAAACAATACAACAGTGGGGTTTCACTCCTTTTGTGCCAGGCACGCTTTGCAGTCAAGGCCTTGGGCCTGCTTGCTCACCGTTTTGAAGTGGGCGGCTTGCCAAAGCCCGACGGCAACATTCTGCTCCAAGCAGTGCAGAGAATCCGAGCAAGCTACACTGCAGCGCGAGCAAGCTACAGCTGCCCCACAGCTGGTGGCGGACCAGCTGGTGCTTGAGCCCCAGCCTCAGAGCATCTGAGAGAGAGTTAAAAAGATAGTGCGGAGCAGTGCGGAGCAGAAACCGTCAGGACTTTTTATGTGTTCGATCGTTTATTGCTGGTTTTGTGCCAGGCATTTTGAATACATAGACCGTTGTAAGACATATATAGCTTCATAGCCTTCATAGCTTGATCCACAAGCCTATGCAAGCGACGAAACAGTTTGTCAGCACCGCTTGGTTGAATCTTCAAAGTCGCCGTTTTGCTCTGAGTAGAAAGACAGCGAACCATATCTTTGGATCGTTTGACGCCCTTTGTCTGCATTTCTTGGACATTTAATCGGTCAGTTCCCGTGTCTTGCGTACACATAATCGCTGTTCTCGCGGCGAAATAAGTGGGTGGTATATTATATTTGATGCTAGATTTATGACGAAGTACACGAGCCAGAGGGCTGATTTCAGACATTTTTTGTGCCTTAAACCACACATTTGTAGGTGTTTCTTTGATTTATTGGAGTTATTGCTTTTCTTTTCATGCTCCAAGGTTTTCCTAAAGTCCTAAAGAACCGCTTTTATGTTCTTCTTTGATTGGCATTTTAGGGGTTGGAAGGATTTGGGAGGATTTGGGCTGCCATTAAAGTCCATTGGGGGACCCCTGAGCGTGAGCGTGTGTCAGGTTTTCTAGGCCACAAAAAAACATAAGTATACATTCATAGACTCATAGATATTTAACTAAAAAAGCTTACACCGGTATAGACCCCAGATAGCAAATAACTCTCAAAACGGAAGCACATCTTTTCCTTTTAGCCCCAAATAGCAATGGCCTCCACCTAGTAGCGATGGCCTCCAACCTAATAGCAATGGCCTCCAACCTAATAGCAATGGCCTCCAACCTAATAGCAATGGCCTCCAACCTTATAGCAATGGCCTCCACCTAGTAGCAATGGCCTTCATTCTAGTAGCAATGGCCTCCAACCTAATGGCAATGGCCTCCAGTGCTGGGGAACAATTACAAAAAATTGTCCATTCTCTTTAGATGCTTTTTGGCCATTCTGTCTCACTAAAGTGTTCATACCTCGAAGAGTTACTCTGAGGGTCATGAGGGGTCTTTTCGTGTTCGAGCGATATCCAACCTCTCCGTTTTGCTCAGATGATTAGTTGAAAGCATGTCTTAGTATCCATGTTTGTTTTGTGAGCAATGGCCTCCACCTAGTAGCTTCTTGTTACTAGTAGCGATGGCCTCCAACCTATTGGCAATGTCTCCGTAGTTCTGTTGTCACCAAGTCTTGAAGCTCTAGCAGGAGACTGCACCATCCCTGATGGACTAGGGGCAGTTTACACCAATTCCGGAACATACCTCGAAACACACAGATTCTTTTTTTGCCATACACTTGTCGAGTATTTCAAATAGTTGAGCAGGTAGTTAAATGTTTGAAGGTTTTGTGCTGGATTATGATTAAGCGGTGTGATAATGTGCGATGAATCTCCCTGTTCGATCCTGTAGCCATGAGTCTCTCTGCCAAGATGATCACTACATGTCTGGCTGCAGTTCTCATTGTCATCCTGGCTTTTGCTACGTTGACCCGAAAAGACGTTCTTTGTGTGGCAGTGCAGTGGCAGGACAAACAGAAACCAGCAGCCGTGCAAACACAGAAGCATGACGAGAAGACAGCCGTACAAAGACAGGAGAGAGACGAGAAACCGACGGCGGTGCAACCACAGGAGAGAGACAAGAAGGAGAAAGACGAGAAACCGACGGCTGTGCAATCGCAGGAGAAAGACGAGAAACCTTCGGCCCTGCAATCGCAGGAGAAAGATGAGAAACCAACGGCTGTGCAATCGCAGGAGAAAGACGAGAAAACAGTAGCAAAACAGTCAGGGTGCTTGTTCCCATTGGTGGTGCACATAGGTCCACACAAGACTGGTACGACCACCTTCCAAACCTTCCTAATCAAAAACGCCGAATGGCTCTGGAAAGAATATGGCATATCCGTGGCTGCAAATGAGGGTGTTAAGGCGGCTGCCTACATCCCAAGCACAATCAGGCAACAACATGGCCTACAGCATAACCCAAAGTTTGCGGATCCAAAAAAGATGCAGGAGCTGTTCCAGACCATTGGCACCATGCCTGCAAACTCTCCCGTGATTTTGTCGTCGGAGGAGTTCTCCACATTGGGCACAGCCGAGTGGAATGATTTCAAGAGCCAAATTGCCATTCAAAAGCGGTGTGTGTCCATTGTAGTTGTGCATCGGCGAGGTTTGAACTTGCGGGCGTCCATTTGGAATGAAGTCAACAAGAATAGCATCTCGCCGGACTCTTTTCTCATCTCGTTGTTGAGGAGGAACGGTGGAGAGGAGGAGTTTCAGCTTAAAGTGCTAGACACCGTCAGGTCGATTGCTGATTCGGTGGAAGGTGTGTCCTATGAATATTTGCGTGAGGCCAACTACAGCATAGCGAGTTTTACGGTTTGCAATGCCACATTGCGGCTGGAAGGTAGCAAGTGGGAGTTGTGCAAGACAAGTGTGGAGCTCCGCATGCCGGGGATTCAGAATCCATCTGCACCGCCCGCAGCCTTTGATGTAGTTCGCTTGGCATATGGCTTGTACACCAGGCAAAAAGCTGCTAACTATCCCAGGTGCAGGAAGAAGTTTGCTGTGCGAGCCTACAAGAACTCGGCTGTTCTGAGAGTGGCTGAGCAGATGCCCACACTCTGTGGCAGTCTCAACGAGGCTTTCTCACATGTGGATGAACTTTGGTACAACCGGACCGGAGCCCTCAAACCCGAAGGACGAGAAGATCCACTTTGCTTTGTGGATGAGGGATCTCTTAAGCTCGAACACTGGGCGTTGCTCAGCACTTTGCTTCCACCTGGCTGCCAAATCATGTGACAGACTTTTCCAGACACCGGAGAGTTGGTGCTTTTCAGCATTTTTTCAGCTGTCCTTTTCCGTTCCTCTTTGCTCCAAAGTGAGCTGACCGTGAGGAGCTGACGACGAGAACGAGAACCAGTCTGATCAACGCCTCGGAACCTTTGGGCATCTGCAGCATCCGGACGTCTCATTTGGAGTGAAGAGCTGGTCAACAGACGAGGACGCAAGCAGGCCCTCCCCTCTGGCTAGAAAACAGACGGATCATTGTGCATTGTCCCGTTCTCACCTTAGATCATTTCATGAGCGACTGAGTGTAGACTTCTGTGCAAAGTGCGGATGGCCCGAGGGGTGCCTCTCGCCATAGGAGGAGGCCAATCGCTAGTAGATTGGAGCAGTCTGACTGAACTTTTGGACTCAAGCCATTGGACAGAGATGGTTTGGTAGAGGAGGGCGGCCAGAGCAGAGTCCATATCCTGTAGTGGGGCTATCAATCCACGCAAAGCAAGTTAAATGATTTGTGAAAGCCAGATGCTCAGATTCTGTCCCACCAACTTTCAACTGGTATGATACGGTATGACCTTTTCAGTGTCTTCTCAGTGTGAATGCCGAAGCGAAGAATTTCAAGAGACCTAGTTATACGGAACATGAACATGTCATGAACAGGAACGAGGTCGACTCCACCGTCTTCCGTCCCGACGTCGACCTTCCCCGATCGACGAGGTGCCCGGTGAACGCCAGACGAATCCGGAGGACGGCAGCTGAAAGAGCATAGGCACAGGGCCACTAGTTAAGGTGTTCGGAGTGATGTTCATACGTTTGAGCAGTTGATGCTTGCACAGATAGTGTCAGTGTTCATACCAGAAAGCATTACATTCAAGCGAAAACCGCATGGAACTCTATGAGATCCATCCCATTTTGGGCCATGCCTCCACTGCACAACACCCACACGACTGGCTTTGTAGAGGAAAACGTATACAGACTTTCTATAGAGAAACTAATAGCGATGGCCTCCAACCTAGAAGCGATTTGGTTCCTAGATTTGAAAAGCACGAGTCACAAGACTTGGCTAGCCACAAAGCTTCACGGATTCCCCTAAAATGCCTACGTACAAAACTATGTTCAAACGCTTTCCAAAGTACCCCGAAGAATACAGCCAATCATGCATGCTTGAGCAATACCTCCTCCATCCTCCTCCTCAGTGTTGGGATAACCCCAGTTTGTTCCACCCGCAGACATTCGATCGGTGCCGAATGAGATGAACGAGCAGTGAAATGCTTAGATGAAGCCTGTGGCCCCTGGTAACAAATGTTCCATCCAGAGTGTTTTCCATGCTAATAGCATCTAATGGCGATGGCCTCCATCCATAGTGTTTTCCAGGGAAGTGCCGGCAGTGCTATGGCACATGCACCACAGGTGACATGAGAGTGACTTCGCGATTCTGAAGGATCAAAAGACGGGAAGTTGGAAGATTGAAAAAGACTGTCAATTGCTGTTCTTGTTTCAATCACGCTCAAGGACATGCAGTCAAATCAGCCCATTTCGGCTCAGGGTATGTGGAAGGAATAGCAGGCAATAGCAGGTTCATATGACCCTTTGCCATTCAACTTTGGGATCCGCTAGCTGTTGATGCACCAGTTGAAGTCTTGACGGAACCAGATCGTTGTACTTTCAAATGTGTGTATTTGAATACTTGGAGGACCGCGTGCTGCGTGCTTTTCACAAAGTCACAAATGCAGGAGGACCCTTGGTCCGTCATGTTAGTTCTTAGGCCAGGAGCCCCGTTCGTAGCGTCCTTGCTCCTAGTAGTAAGGCCAGGAGCCCCTAGTAGCGTCTTTGCTATGATCCAAGCCTAATTATATAGGGCCTAGATCGTTAGACTATCTTCCCGTCAGAAAAAGACAAACACAAGTCGAGAGTCAGCTTCACGGGAAGTCTCAACTTCGAAAAAAGAAGCTGTGGCCTTGAAAGCCCATGCTGCCTTGGACACCGGGTGGACGCCTGCAGCACTACGACCATTTGCGGATTTCTCGAGAGGTGTGAGCTCTGTTTGGCGGCCTTTTCTCTTTGTGTTCTCGAGCAAAATAAATCTAGGATGGAACCTGGCTTTTTGTGCACATGCCCTAGTAGGAACAAGAAGCTACTAGGGGCTCCTGGCCTTACTACCAGGAGCAAGGGTGCTACTAGGGGCTCCTGGCATCGCTACTAGGAGCATTCTTACTACTAGGAACAAGAAGGTCTTGCAACAATACGCACAAAGCTGGTGCAGCACTCCCGACCCCGTCACAGTTGACAACCGAAGCCGACGAGCCATGATGCCCATTGATGCCCCCCTGTTTACCTCACTTAGTAGCATCCTTGCTACTAGTAGCTTCTTGCTACTGGTAGCGATGGCCTCCAACTTACTAGCTTCTTGTTCATTTTCCAGGCTCTACCATCGCGCTTCACAGACGCTGGACTCCGGTGATCCGCTTCAAGGAGCAGCTCCGCTCGCTCCGCTCCATCCTTTCACTTCAATGTCCTTTGGTTTGAAGCAGAACATAGTAGCAAGAAGATACTAGTAGCGATGCCCTTTGTTACTAGTAGCTTCTTGCTCCTAGTAAGGCCAGGAGCTACTAGTAGCTTCTGTGCAGTGACAACGGCTTGGCGGCAAAAAGTCCAAGCTGGATCCCAGGAATCAGTAAACACCAAACACCAGGCTGCATCAGTCGATTGACTTACCAGCTACATCCAGCTACCCTGTGTTGATCGCGCTATTTCCTTTTTATTGATGGGTTCCCTCAACTTGTTGAGCCATTGGAGAAGCGGCAACGACGTTCCCAGGTGCAGCTGAATCGTGAGATCATAGCAGCTCCAACAGCTGCTTGTTTGCTTTCGCTTTGCCGGTCAAAGATCAATGCTTCTTGGCTTTGCACCTGCCAATTGCAGTCGACTGCAGTGCTTTGCGTTGGAACTAACACCAAGCTCTCGTTTTCCGAGTTGGCGTCAAACTGCTTCATGTTTGCCGTGAACTTCTACTGAGTTTGGCCTTGAGATTCCTTTTGTCAAGGGAAAGCGATTGGCAAAGTTGTCAAGGTGCTCTCGACCACATCGTCCAAGTTTGAAGAGATGTTCTGAACTACAGCGTTTTCAAAGTTTTCAATCTTAGTGTTTAGGTTGGGTACTAGCTATCCTGCGTGAGCTATCCTGCGTCCAGTGGGTAGTAGCTTAAGCAAGGTACTAGCTACCTATCCCTTACTTACTTAAGTAGGGAGGGGGGGAGGAGCGGGCTAAAACACAAGTAGTGGTGCACATCAGCGCCAAGGAGCTGAACAGTGTGAACGTTGCGACAGCCTTGAACCAGCTCGCCAAGAGGGCGGACGGCCCGGAAGTGCCGCTCGACGCCAATCCTCGGTCTCCCAATGGTGCGGACACGGACGCATGACGCCATGGACACTTGCCATGCGCACTTTTGGAATAGAACGGAATGTTTCATTGAATATATAGATAAGTGCTAGTGACAAGTCTCGAAAGACTCGTAGAGAAGGTGGACGCCTGTCGTTTGTCAGGTGGCGTGGAGACGATTCCTTGATCCAGGCAGCTGAGCGCGTGGTGCAGGTCAGAGCTCTTTGGGGCCACTTTTCGTGAGTCACATGTGTGTGGAAGTGTGTTAGCCTTGAGCAGTCGCTTTGGTGTCAGACGGGCTCCAGTCGGGAGCTTGCCAGCATGGCGTGGTGATGTACCAAAATGCAGTCTTTGCAGACCTCGCTCCTGGAGGCACAAAACACCTGACGCTACTAAGAGCAAGGACGCTACTAGGGGCTCCTGGCCTTACTACTAGGAACAAG